AATAATTTTTTAGTAACATTTTGAAACACTTTTCACAAAGCCCTAATGTGAGAGAAAGAATATATGAAAACATTACCTTCTTTCCCAAGTTGGAAGACCAGAGGACCAGGCAGTGATTTATCTACCATGGGTTATCTCAGTACTATTTAAAGGTTGTTCCTTCATGATATGGTAATTCTGTGGTTCAAAATACTTAAAAAGCTATTTGAGTTCTAAGAAGTCACTATGATTAGAATTTGTTTATCTTCCAGATTTTTTCCCTACAGATTCCAAGGAGTGTTTTAACACAGTTTGATTTAGAACATGATAGCAGGAAATGAGGGTGTTATAATGTATAAAGATTATCTGTATTTTGTGTGTAGCCTTCCTCTGCTCTGAACTAGTTTTTTGATTCAGGAAAAGTTTCTTTGTGTTTTGTTTTGTTTTGTTTTGTTATCTCCTGGCACCTGCTTTCCTGTGCAAGAATATGGTGTTTTGGACAAAAATAGTTCTCTATTGCTTTTCCAGCTGTCAAATACCCTGAATACCTGGAATGGATTTTTCTTTTCTTTTCTTTCTGGTTTTTACTTCTATAAAAATGCTTTCATAATAATAAAAATAATGTTACCTAATGCAATGTAATGTTACAAAGTTGGCAATAATGTGTATAAAGTAGATACATATTTCTGTGGCAATCTCTAAAATAGAAGTCACAAATGCGAAAGACTACATTGACTTTGTAGGTGAGGTGAAAGTATAAAGTATAAAGTAGAGCCAGTTGTAAAAAAATAAGATACGGCCAGACCTTGGCTTCCTAAGAGTGCAAGCCTCTTGTAAAAAGGAAGCGTTAACTCAGCTCTAGTTTATTTTGATTTATACAAATAATGTCCCCGTCTTGGCACATATTCTAATTTTTAAGGGTAGGACAAGAGAGGAATATTTACCCGAGTCTACTTTTTATATAATGTCGACTGATTTAATATGTTTGAAATATGGTGAGGCTAATTAAACACAACACTCTAGGTTTTGCCTAAGTGCCACCAGGATGACTTTTGTGCACAATGCCTACACATAATTGTATTTATTGGAGTCATAGTCATGTTTAGAAAGCCAATTTGCTGGTTAGCCGGAAAAGGTTGAAG